GAAAGCAAATGCAAAGAAGTTTAGTCCATCAAACGTTTATGCCATGTGAAGACATAAGTGGGCAGCTGGATCTTTGTATCCTTGTGGTATTTTCGACAACCATTTGATAGCTGTGCAAGGCAAACACAGCAACCCTGAACGCAAGCTTCGCTGCCGCTCGGCATCCAGAACGCTGTTCCTGCTCAGAGGGAAACACGGAGCAGCAGCTTTGCAGACTGGGCATTAAAACAGGGAGGGAGGAATGTGAAGGTGCATTTCCCTTCACCTTCTGGCCTGCGGCTAGAGACGGGGCTGGGAGGCAGACATCTGCACAGCAAGGGAGAGAGTATCCTTCAGACTGGCGCTTAGGAAACCACACACCCCGTGTTTCTGATCAGCCAGCAGGAAGCTGCCTGTGTTTCGTCCCCGGCAGTAAACAGACCCAGAGAAACAGCAAATCAAATTGCCACACAGCCAACGCAGACTAACTGTACCGGGCTCAAACCCTGCTGCCGATTGCTAGGTGAGGTGCCACAGCAATGATCATGAGCTGAATGCTCTGAGTCCTGCTAATGCTTCTCCCAGACGCTGTGCCTGGCAGCCATCAGCTAGGGACAGGTCACGCTCAGGGATCTGTTCCTCATCCAGCTGCTGGCTGAGCCAAACCACACCAACACGCTGTCTGAGGCACCAGAAAGAGGCCTCTGATAGATTCACAACAACTCATCTGCTTTAATTGGTGTGACCCCTGGACGCGACAGATACCACCGAGGTGATGGGCCCGGAATCGCAGAGTTCGTTTGCCTGGCGCCCGTCTCGTTTCCCCGCCAGCAGCCCCCGGTGGCTGGAGTCAGGGCTGCTGGCAGCGGGTGCAGGGCACGAGGCAGAGCTGTCCCCACTGCGAGGGCCATGGGCACCGAGCCCCTCGGCACGCTCCGAGCCCTGCAGAGGCCGACTGCCGCTGGCCAGTGCAATGGCCACCTCGGAAGGCAACCGGTCGCGCTGCCCAGTGGCCCGGTCTCCGGGGCAGGCTCGGCTCTCAGAAGGACTGGTCCTTTGTGGTCCCAGCCCCCAGGAGGGCTGCCTGGGGGCTGTCACCGTCACTACCCTGGGTCAGCACAGCCAGCTGGGTGCTCTGCCACCAGCCAAGGCTTCGCACCACCTCCAGCACTTTGCTAACCCAGAGGAAAACCTCAAGGCCTTTTGTCTTTCAGCATCAAGTGAAATAAGAATGAAGGCACTTATACAAAGAAACACCGTCATGCCTGCGCTTGTGTGCTGACAGCGGCCTCGGCACCCGCGGGAGGCACCGGCTCTAAGCAGGCGTCTTGCGTGAAAGCCCTGCCTGGTAGCTGCACCGGTGCCACTGGCATTGCTCTCAGGCTAACCTGAAATACTCCAGTTATGTTTTCACCACCCTCGAGCAGCCAGGTCTGAG